CACACACTGAAAGTGTTCATTCATCTCGGCAGATGTTCGATAGATGAGCCAGACATATTTTGATTTCATCATATTCACCTCAACCATCCTACGGGACGTGTCAATCACTTGCTTTTATCCCGTGATAAATCATTGTTCACTGTAATATCTGTAGCAGAGTACATCATTCTGTTCGAAATAAACTAAGGTTTAACGAATTGGAACCAAGAAGTTTGGAAGTGCTTACCTTCGCAATCTGACTGATTCATCGTGGACATCATTTCCTGACGTAGTTGATCCATTTTGTTGAAAAAGACAATGAAGTCCTTTCGGCGCAAATACGGTGAAACTACCAGTGTCTCAAAAAGATCCACTGTGGCTTGTAGTTCGTACTGCGCATGGGTAAGGAAAGAAGCATGCAGTAGCCTGATTGACGACGGAAGCGCAAACTTAAGCGGAATGTTCTGGAAATCAGTGCATAAAAAACAGCAAAAGATCGGTGAGAACGACAGGTTTATTAGATTGCTCCAATAGTATCTTGTTTTCTGTACTTTAAACTCACCAGCCCAGTTCCAAGTATTCGAACGACATGCAACCAGTATATTTAGGGTGTTTCATCCGAAAAGCAGACCGATAAGATAAAGTCACTATTCAGTATTCATCCATGGTATCAGACAGATGGACAAACAGTCCATGCGCAAAGTTTTACAGAGGGAAAATTAGTCTACCATGGTGCAGGAGGTGTTCATCGAGGATGATGCTTCACTGTGGTTGCCCTGATGCGTGAGTAACTCACAAGTCGCCCCAAGGTATATGATCAGCGATTGTCTAGGTACATGCCGTTGCTAGACTTACGCCTGATGATGGGTAGGTAATGTGTTCTGCGTTGTGCCATGGACGAGCTTCTGATGTCTTGCTTTAGTTAATGTTTGTTGACCGTCTGAGCCTGTGCTCGAATCACGCACAAGCGGCCACTAAAGGAATGCATGCAATCTGAATACCATGTTAAACACGACGACGCTATACACAATTGCGAACATTGTGAACGACAGCGGCTTAAACTGGGATAGAGCGATAGCCGTTACTAATCTAAGGACCAATAGTTTTAAATATCTATGTAGCATGCCACTTTTATAAGGAAAACATGGAGTACGAGCGAATATTACTTGCTGAACAGTAGGTTGTTTACGAAATAACTTGGAACACTGGTAGCCCGGATTGGTTGCTCACCTGTTGATCGGTTCTCCGAGCTTGATAAAGTGATTACATACGTTTCGCTACCATGTGAGGTGGATGTAGTGCCAAATCGAGGGTTTCGCATTAACAAGCTTAGTGCATTCCTCCACAGGTTAATCTTTTCTGGGAAACTTTGCAACGAATTGGAAACAGATAAGCATTAGCAAACAGTGGTCACGGAATGTGAATGATCGTGTCGTACAAGTAGTGCTGCTCAGGAATTCTAAACACCAGCCTTTGAGTCAATAGTCGGACTCGTAAGACAGCGTGCGAAGCAGTAGTTTGGTTTGATTGTCTAAATGCCCCACAGAACGGTTGGAATCTGGCTTGCGGAGAACGTATGACTACCGCGTTCCGTATGGATCAGATGGTCGCTAGTTCCACGCGGTCTCAGTAATACGGGATTGACTCGTGCGTAACACTTCATCTCTGTACTTGCTTGGTAACTAACTACGTTTAACCGCGGGCGCATTTATGAGAAGTTAACTTCTTGTAACCAAAGTGTTTTGAAGCTTGGGATGCGAAAATAAAGATTAATGCCCAATAACTTGCCAACACCTCTCTATGATCCCCCCATGGTATCTGCCAATAGGCGCAAGCTTTTATTTCACCTCGCTTGTTAGCTAAGAAAATAGACCACTAAAGCTCTACTAATGGTCGATTAGTGGTAGTGCTATTGAGTTGTTGTAGCCTCTACGAACGATTGGTGCTCATCGTGCAACTCCACTAAGTTGATAACGAAGATTCGTCAAAAGTGTGCAGCATAAGCAGTCTGTAGCATTTTGGTGGAAAGAAGTGCACATGCACTTTATCTTGCAATTGTACTGCCTATGATTTAATGAATGTATGAGACTAATAAAATGAATGCCATGGGGACAAAGGAAAATGATAAGTAGACAACGATGGTCTCCCCAGCAAAATGTATTACTATCGATTATCCGATTGACAACGGAGTTTGATGAGGCAGTTACTGTCTTTGTTGAAAGAGCAAACCCAACTTATTGGAAGATGCTGTCATCTATTAAGCTATGGACCGCGACAACTTCTATGGACACTCAGCCAGTTAAATATATTCAACCGAGGGGCAACTGACTTTGATCTGCCGATGTCGTCTAGTGTATGGTCCTATTAGAATTGAAATAAGGCGACGTTCAGTCACATCAAATCTTCTTACCTGAAAAAGAGGAAATAGTCGAATTATTCAGACGCTTTCTATAAATCTCTATAAATGTCCCTCATGTTCAAGTACATTATGCAGAGTATTCCTCAGAAAACACCGAGGGGTGTCAGCTCATTACGGATTACGGCGCTCTAATCAAACTTATAAATGCTACAAACGGTATTTTTAGCAGAACGATCGCCCAATGTCGCCTGGTCTGAATTTGCTCACCAGTTCAACACGTTAGTAACTAGTGCTTCTAGCAAAAGACCTACGCGGGCACAGACAGAAAAATCATTCATACGCAGCAGGACACGCAAGTGTATCGTCACGAAGAATTTACTCTGGCGAAGATACAAAGAGTCATCAAGTGCCGAAACATGGGTAGCCTACACCATCCAAAGGAATCACTGCGTAAATCTGGTACGCGAAGATAAAATACAGCACCAACAGATTCTAGCTGAGAAGTTCCTTTCTAACCCGAAGCTTCTGTACAGACACATAAACAAGCTCCGAAAAGTGCAGCGAGAAATCCCTGCCTTACACACGTTATGTGGACTCGCACAAACCGCAACCGAGGCGGCCAACGCCCTAGGTCAACAATTCGCCCCGAAGTTCCAGAGCACGACATCGCCGCATACACTGTTCCCGATCGTTGTACCACCACCAGGACTTAGCCACATTGTGTTTACTAGTGCGGATGTTATGAAAAGGCTAATGGCCCTGCGCGAGCATACCTCTCCCGGCGTTGATAATATTCGTCCAAAAACGTTGAACTTGGCTGCAGTAAACCTGGCGGACCCACTCTGCAAGTTCTTCCAACGATGCCTCGATGAGATGCGGGTACCAACAATGTGGAAGCAGAGCATCGTCACTCCCATCCATAAGAGAGGAAGTCGTACAGATCCGGCCAACTATCGCCCGATAACATTACTTCCGGTGCGATTGTTACCGAAGCGCTGATGAACTACTTGGAGGAACGCAATATCATAGCACAAGAACAACATGGATTTCGCAAGAACCGTTCTCGCACTTGAAACTTGCTATTTGCTATATCCAGTTGGACTGAGACTGTTGACAGCGGCGTAGATGTTGACGCAGTATATCTGGACTTCTCAAAGGCTTTCGACTGTCTGAACCACCGTATCCTCCTTCACAAGCTGCAGTGTTGTGGAATTGGTGACCCATCCTCGGTTGTATAGGTAACTTCTTGCTTCAACGACATCTGAATGTAAGAGTTCGCGGCGTCATCTCCGACCCAGTCGAAGTTAAGTGCGGAGTGTCCCAGGGCTCAGTACTTGGTCCACGACTATTCCTGTTATACGTAAACGATCTCGCGACAATAGTCACCTCCAACTCCTTACCCTTCGTTGACGATCTCAAGATATGGCGAGCCATTAGAACAACCAGCGACAATGCAGCACTTCAGGCTGATCTTGACAGGGTCTACGAATGGTCGACTCAGAACCTGCTTCAGTTCAACGCTACAGTGCAAGGTGTTGAGCATACGCCATAAAACTACTTGCGAATACAGACTGGGGGATCAAATATTGCACCGCACTTCAACGGAATGCGATCTAGGTGAGATAGTGCATGAATATCTTGGCTGTTCTTGTCAGGCCGAGAAAGCCTCCGAAAAAGCTAACCAACACCTTGGCCTTTTGCGGAGGGCATTCGGGCGCTTTGATCCTTCCATCTTTTCTCAGATGCTCAACGCCTACATTCGGCCTCAATCTGAGTACGCCATCCACGCCTGACAGCTGTGGCAAAAGCAAGATCTTACCGCTCTTGAACTGGCACAACGAAGGGCGACCAAGAACGTAAAGGGCCTGTTTCATCTCCCTTACCGATTGAGGCTGAAAACCCTAAGGGTCTACAGTGGACAATATCGACGCCCGCTTGGCGACTTGATAATGACTTAAATGATCCTCAGGAATCCAAGCCATTCTTGTCGTCACCTACTGAAGCTGAATAGCAATACCACACTCAGAGGACACCATCTAAAGCTGGACACACAATACAGCCGGTTGGAATTCCGCCGGAATTTCTTTTCCCTTCTTGTGTGTCAACATTGAAACGCCCATCCCACATACGTTGTTTCTTCCCCCACGCTAACGGTATTCAAAAGACGTCTGGATGATTCGCTTATCCACTTACATTACGCTATATAATCAGAGATGTCTACGTCAACCAAACGCGAACAAACGGTGCTCATTCTCAGCTGTTGTGCTTCATTACTTACACACTGCTGTTGTGGAATATAGTTTCGGATATATCACAACTGCATTCATCAATTACCTCATTCCAAGAAAGCGGGGCACGAGTAAGGGTTGTCGTTTCTTTTGTTCTTAAGACATACCCTCCCCATATTACTTCCCATATTACTCTACAGTAACAATTCAGTACACATTCTAAAATGTTTATATGAATAAGGGGCACCTGAATCGCTAGACGCTTCAATTTGCGATTTACACTTATGTTTACTTTCACCAACCATCCTACGGGACTTGTAAAGCAATCGCTTTTTTTACCTGTAATATATCATTGTTCATTGTTCATATTACTTGCGCATCTTATCGGTAAAGGTGGGGATTGTTCTATTGTAAACGGGATCATAAAATACACATACCCGATGGTATGCATAATACTGCAACTAGATGGTATCATTTGGTATCGATGGCGGTGAAGAAAAAACTGTTCCCAAGCGGTATGCGCGCAATAGTGCAATGGAAGTTTTGCGGTGAACCAGAACTAGAGACTGTTTATTGGTGGAAGATGCGGGCTTACTAATCTGGCTTATACCGATCATTACATCATTTCGACACCTACTGATATGCGGAATAGAATAAAGTTTCATCATTGACTACAATAGTTACTCGGAGGCGCAATATCACGAGGGAACTGCACAACTGAATTGTAGGCGTAGAAAAGCTTTGCTATGTATTTCGAAGGTACTTGAAAAACAACTGGTCGATTTGTTGAATACCACCAATGAAAATTCACACCTCTATCTCTAATGTATTGAAAACTTGCATAGAATCTGTTGACGCATTTGGAATCCCACCAAGGTAACTTCAATGGCAGCGATAAAGCTGAAACCCCAGTAATGGATGACCGTCTCCTCTTTTATTCTGAGCAACCAGGGTGCATTACGGCAACACGTATTGAGTACAGAGTTGAACTATGCCATCAAACGCGCTTCTGCCGATAAAGATTGAACGAGCAACGACGGAAATGGGGGAATAATCTCGCAGTTAACAGTTCTAGGTTCGACTTCGTGTCTGTGTCGACTAAAAAGGCCCAAAATTATCAAGCTTTCGGTGTTCCTTACACTAAACACTGGACAGGGTGCAAGCAACACCGAAATCTCTTCACTTGGATGCAATTCCGGTGCTTGGCATGAAAATAAGACACTTCAAACAAAACTGAACTCGCAAAAGAAATTGGGTCTCACAATCCAAAACAAATCCGGCACTCCGAAAAGTAACATCGGCCGGAAAGTCATCTCAAACAAAGATAACGGTACTAAGTTGCAGGGACACAGACATACCCGCAAGAATACATAAACTGAGTGCGTTGATTCGAATTCGAAATTGCGAATTCTAGCGGTTTGGAAAGCTTCTGAAGGTTAACTTCAGCGCAAGTGGCTGGATATAAGAGGAATCGCTACTTTTCTGGGTGGTGACACGCAGTCTCAGCATGGATCTCAAGTCAATTTGAGGCAACCCGGAGTAAATCTCGAGCCCTGGGACTGAATCCGAAGTAGAAACACTTTACCGCTTCTCCGCCCTAGCACAAGGCCTCACACCTGGATCAGTCCTTGTTTAGCCTAATAAGACAGAAAATTCGGGAATGAAATTAGAACCTGATATCCAATAATTCACAGTAGGTACCACAATTACAAGGCCACTGGACTCTACGAGCAATACTTGACGCAGTGGCTAGCTGAACCTGCACTTCTCAGTATAAACACGTTTGGTACTCAGAAAACCATACAATGACGCTGTCAAACATTGCTCAGTGGTATATTGATCAAGGAATTAACCATAATTCTTTACCTTTCGTACTGTACTCCCAATTCTGGTTATTTCTGACTAAATGACTTAAATAAGAAGGAAATTCCTCTTAAGAGGCAGCTTTGAGAGCGACTACCACTCATGATATAGTCCCATCCCATTCAAAATTGTTAATTTGTTGGATCCAACGGAACTAGTGGAAGGAAGACAACGAGATTTTACTACAGTCAGCTGTCGTCATTCCGTTCGATTTAAAAATTCAGTAGGTATTCGGATCTTGGACATAGCTTGAGTTACACCAACAGCTCTGGATACCCCCCGATACGCAGAAGCTACCAGAACCATACGTGGCTCTGTCTGCATCAGATCAGCAGGTACTATAGATTGGTTACAATCCAGTTTTTTTCTTTGCACTTAATCCGTTTACACCTAAATCAGTCTCTGGTCTATCGACTAGGGTGTTATGTGATAAACATAAGTACCGAGAAGAATAGTTTGCTGTTTAACCTGAAGGTTTACTTTGTTTGGGGATAGAGATGGGAAATCCGCACAGAGCAAACTAATTTCACTGACCGGTTGGTGAGTGTTATTCAAAGACCTGCCAGTCTGAGTCGCGGACAATGTTATACTAACTAACCAGTAGCGCGATCTTTGAAGCAGCAGTTAAGGTGACGGTAGGACACGTTGTTCGACCAGGTTAAACTTATGTGTAAACAGTTCCTCCGACAAAAGCGTAGTTCCTGCACTCCACACTTTAACGGACATTTTTCTACCTTCTCTCAACCCAGTCTCCTAACACCATTCTGAATCAAATTTAACGGTTCTGTTGTTGAAATAACATACAACTCAAAATTTTCTGCGCTTCATGATTCCATCAATACCGGCTGCTTTATCGGATATCGTGTCTAAAACTACGCATACAACTTTACTTTTTAAGCTGATTCCTCACCTGTGTAACATCGTTCGATACATAAAACTGTAACGACTGTCCAACAAACA